CCTGTCTGTATCATGTCAGTCGATCGCACCATTACTTCTGTACCACTGAACAATGCAACATTTAAACAAACTTATAAAGACGACTGAGAAACGAAACACAAATGCCCCCAAAAAGAAAATCAGATTTTGCAGATTACAAACTGTAAATCGTGAAATCTGCAGCTGAAAACGATAATCGAGCAACAGAAAGAAAGTTTGGAGTGGGAGAGAAACTTGTGACACCAGGAGGATGCACCATGAAACTTTCCTGAAGTCACTGGATGGATGGACAAAGCCTGGACTTCAGTGACACAGAAACCATCCTGTCGAGATTCAGAAAGAATCTTTCTGAAGATTTTTTCTTCTTCATTATGCATTTTTTGGCTGGTGCAACTTACACACCGACAAATGCGATAATAAGTAATTTGTTAATAGGTAACTGGTTCTAGAATTAAAATTAAAAATCGATTTCATGACGTTGATATTAGCACAAAAAGATAGATTTGTGCAGTTTGAATGTTACAGATGTTCACAGATGTTTACATGTCTCGCATTAAAACTGCACAAATCTCTGTCTTTGCAAATATTGACATCATGAAATCGATTTTTAATTTGGATTGTAGAATCAGTCTGAGTGAATAAGTTCCTTCTGTTTTATTCATGAACATAACATTAGTTTTGTTCAGTGCGTCACTAATGCGTCGTCGTTGTTTCCTTTAAGTTTTGGTCTTTCTTCTCTTGATATTTGTGGATAAATTCTTCATGTTAGAATGTTTATCCTTTGTGGACCTTGTTGGTTGAAGATTTGGTGATGGGGCAGATTTATGAAGCTGCTGGAAAATACGACGCACATTTACACAGATATTTTGCATTAATGTAAGTGATGTTCACCCTACATCGCAGCACTTCTGGCCGTTGTGAAAAAGCTCTACAGAGAATTAAAACGTTATGGAATTCAGAAGAAAAATTTGACAAAAACGTTGCCAAATACTTCAATCATAAATGCAAAACGGTTGTGTTATAAAAGCAGCTTCTCTCAGTCTTCTGCTGATGTAAAAAAGCAGCACGTGGAGCAGAATGAGGCCATCTGCACCGACATATGGACACTAGAGCGAATTATAACACACTGGACCTTTATACGAGAGCTTCAGGCACAAAACACGACTCGACTATTCTTATAAACTCAAAGAAGCGAACTGGCAAAACTGCAGCGATTTAGGGAATAGAATGTAATGTGCAGACGTCGCTGTGTGTCCTTGTGTGTCAGATGCCCTCCCTGTGCCTCCATGGGGTGTCCTTCTGTGTAAAAGCTGCCAACCCTGTAGTTCAGATCTCTAACAACACGTTCTGAAATGTCCCCGTGCGTCAGATGCCCTCCCCGTGTCTGCGTAAAAGCTCTTAACCCTGTAGTTTAGATCTCTACAAACATTATAAACGTTTCTGATTCCTGCGGTCCGTCCCTTTTTCTGTTAATGATATAAATTTGACGTTTACCGATTCATCACCAATTATTTCAGTTGATAAATTTAAATATCTTGGTTTACGGCTTGACCCGTCGCTCCCACATACGAACTATTACAAACAAAATTTCACACCGCTTAAAGGTTGTATAGAGGATTTTTTAAGGGAAGTGAAATACAGCGACCGTCCTTTTTCAAATGTTGTGCATGTGTGACACCACCTTCCTCAGTAGAAACACCTCCTCCTCCCGCCTCTTTACTCTAGAAATCACATTTGTTTACATCCAGTGCATGTTCAGAATCACTGTTGAAGTGACCTGCCTAGAAATATTTTAGCGACCGACGCGTCAGTTTTTAGACCCTTCGGACTTTCTTTTGCGGTGAACTGGTCGTGGATTCTCGTCCGCCGTCGCAACAAACTTTGTGCGAATTGCAAGGGAGCTACAGTTTGAAAAAGCCTCAAAGAACCGCCGCATAAACCACATAATCCCCGAGCGCCGATGACTCAGTTACACTAGAACATAGGGAGTTTGACTGACAACCTAACAGCCAATAGAAAAAGAGGGAGCCTCGTTTTCTATTGGCTGATGTTTATCTGGCCTCACTACATCCACAACTGATAGATTTTCATTCTTTATTTTTTTTTTCCGTCATCATAATTAAAAGCTGCTGCGTCTCGGTAATGGTATTTTAAACTTTCAATGACAATTTTAAACAAAAAAAAAAATCCTCCATACAACCTTTAAAATTACTTAGCAAACACAACTAATTCTTCCCATTTTAGATTACTGTGATATTATTTATCAAAATACAACAGCTTCTATCCTCCAACCACTCAACGTTTTTCTGTAAGAGTCTGTGCAGATTCATTCTCCGTTGTCCCTTCAGAACTCACCACTGTACGATGTTCCACCAACTGTCCTCCCGACGTCAACTTCACTGGTTATTTTTTATCTTTAACTGCATTCATCTCAGTTTTCCTGAATATCTCAAACAGTATTTAATTCCATTCAGATCCTCTTACGGTTTACGTCACGCTGATATTTTTTGTCGTCCCAAGAGTCAAAAAACAAACAGGAAAACACTCATTTAAATACAAAACTCCTTCGGATTGGAACGATCTTCCCTCATCGATTCGAGCTTCAACTTCAGTCCCTTCGTTTAAAAATGCTCTGGTTCAATATTTACAGAACCCGTGTCATTGTTTTTGATCGTTTTGTTGAATATTTGTTGTTCATCTTGTTGCGATTATCTTTGAACTCTGTTTTAGTTGTTCTTTTTTCCTCAAAGTTGTTTTATTATATGTCAAACAGTCAAGTGTGTGTGAGTGTGAGTGTGTGTTTGTGTTGATTTTGTTGTTTTGATGCTTTTTTTAAATATTTATGTATCCTACCGTCTGCCCTCCTGTATCTGTCTTTTGTCGTTGTATTTATGAGGACCCAATCGAAAACGAGATGGCGAGACGTCTCGAGGGGCTTATCCTCCAAATAAATTCTGTTCTGAGGTTTTATGTAATTTTGTTGTAAGTTTAGCGGTGATTCTTATGCGGCAGGAGATGATTACAAAAAACAAAACAATAACTGACACAAAAAAAGCGGCAAACCTGAAAATGAAATGTTAATGATTTGCTACGTTAATGATAAAATCGTTTAAAGTTACAGTCATGTGATCAAGTTAGGGCGGGGCTTTTGTAAAACGGTTTAGGTTCAGTTCAATAAAATGTGTCACAAATGCACTAAATGTTTGTTGTATCTCTAATGACATTAAATTAAATTACATTAAATTAAATATGTACATATGTAGTTTTCTATGGTGCTCACTCGGGATGTAACGATATCAAAATTCCTCAATACGATATTTTCACGATACTCATCTTACGGTTTGATATTTATTGCGATGTTTTGTGGAGGCTTGCGAAATTGTGAAAAGCCTTAAAAATGTCCTTGAAATGAAATGATTGAAAATGAAAAAAATATTATTTTCTTCATTATTTGTCTCCAAAACCGAAATGAAAAAACAGATAATGATTTGTTTTTTCAGTTTTCGATTTTGTGTTTAAATGAAAAATGAAAAAAACGGATAAAGGTCGTTTCCCCCAGGTCTGGTTCCGATCTGGTCCTGGACCTGGTTCAGTTCTGGTTCAGTCCTGGTCTAGTCCTGGTTTAGTCCTGGTTCAGTCCTGGTCTAGTCCTGGTCTAGTCCTGGTTCAGTCCTGGTTCAGTCCTGGTCTAGTCCTGGTTCAGTCCTGGTCTAGTCCTGGTTCAGTCCTGGTTCAGTCCTGGTCTAGTCCTGGTCTAGTCCTGGTTTAGTCCTGGTTCAGTCCTGGTTCAGTCCTGGTCTAGTCCTGGTTCAGTCCTGGTTTAGTTCTGGTTCAGTCCTGGTCTAGTCCTGGTTCAGTCCTGGTTTAGTTCTGGTTCAGTCCTGGTCTAGTCCTGGTTTAGTCCTGGTTTAGTCCTGTTCAGTCCTGGTCTAGTCCTGGTTCAGTCCTGGTCTAGTCCTGGTTTAGTCCTGGTTTAGTCCTGGTTTAGTCCTGGTTTAGTCCTGGTTCAGTCCTGGTTCAGTCCTGGTTCAGTCCTGGTTTAGTCCTGGTTCAGTCCTGGTCTAGTCCTGTCTGGTTAGTCCTGTTTAGTCCTGAGTCCTGGTTCAGTCCTGGTTCAGTCCTGGTTCAGTCCTGTTTCAGTCCTGGTTCAGTCCTGGTCTAGTCCTGGTTCAGTCCTGGTTTAGTCCTGGTTCAGTCCTGGTTCAGTAGTCCTGGTTCCTAGTCCTGGTCTAGTCCTGTTCAGTCCTGGTTCAGTCCTGGTTTAGTCCTGGTTCAGTCCTGGTTCAGTCCTGGTTCAGTCCTGGTTCAGTCCTGGTTCAGTCCTGGTTCAGTCCTGGTTTAGTCCTGGTTCAGTCCTGGTTCAGTCCTGGTTCAGTTCTGCGTCGCAGTTTAAGTCACGTAAACGGGAAACGGTCAGTATCCAGTTTTTTCTATTTTTCATTTAAACACAAAATCAAAAACTGAAAAAACAAATCATTATCTGTTTTTTTTTTTTTCATTTTGGTTTTGGAGACAAATAATGAAGAAAATAGTTTTTTCGTTTTTTTATTTTTGGTTTTATTTTGAAAAACAAATGAACGAATGACACACTGATTATAGGAGATCAGGATATTTCGTTTATCGTTACATCCCTGATGCTCACTCAAAGTTTACATCAAAACTCGTTATCAAAAGACCAGCACCAGTTTTACCAGATTATTTGTCGTAATAACTTTTTAAAAACATCTTTAAGTGTTTCCCTGTCATAATCATAATACTCATCAGTGAAAGTACAATTTGATATTTTGCTCCTAAACAGTTGAGCTGAGGTGTTTCTAACTTTTACACACAACTGTTTTGATTGACGTCAATTTCTATGAATGAGAAAAATCATTGAGAAGCAGGAGAAGTTTCAGCCATGATCCAAAGTGAAGACAGCCACATTCCCAAAGAAAAAGAGCAGAGGAGCTGATCAAAACCAGGCACCGGATCAGCCCGTGCGTTTGGATGTGCCGGTTAGTTGTGGTTGAGGCTGAGTTTACCTGGAGACAGGTGAGCAGCCAGTCACAGGACAGAGAGTCTAAACTACAAGAGGAGTCGTCACTCTGTAACACAGGGTTACACACACACACACACATACACACACACACACACACACAGACACTATGAACAAAGCTCTGAAACGTGGGTGATGGTCAGAGGTGGAGGAATGGACACACAAATGAAAGAGTCAAAACAAGTATCCGAATAAGAAAAAAAAATACAATAAATATAAATATATCACATTTTAAACCTAAACAAAGAGTGTAATGTCAACATAAATCTTTCATGAGTTTCAGCTTTGTGTTATATGCAACATTTTACATATAACAGGTATTACCGTAATTTCCGGACTATAAGCTGCTACTTTTTTCTCACACTTTGAATCCTGCATCTTAAACAACAATAGGGCGAAATATATACAGAAGGATTATTTGTTTGGCACATTGTCCATTCATATAAACGGTCTATGGTTTATCAAAACAGTGGATGCGCCGCAGCCTGATTCATCAGACGGTTTCATTTCGTAGAAACCGTGTGACCTCGCAGCATTAGGATTCGTTCGCTTGACGGTAGGCGGGTGCTTTTTTTATTGAACCAATCGCTGCTGTTTGGTCGTGATGTATGTAATGCTCCAAATCCCGTAGGAAGAAGGACAATAACGTCTTTAGTCTTGATAAAATTCGCCAAATTCTCTTTATTCTGGCTTTAAATCCTCGATCTCGGGAATCGCTGACACCACAGAATGGTTGATTGGCTGGTACTTGGACTTACTCTTCGAGGGTTCTTCCAAACTGTCTAGTGTATTCTGATTAGTGATCTAGTCGCTGGAGAGAAATTTAATTGAGCGGAGACACTAGGAAGCACCAGCCTGGTTATGTTCGCTCAGTCTGAGTGTTGAAAACGCCGTTGTCTGTGCGATTTACACATGGATCTAGGTTTAACATGAAGTTGCAGTGTTAACTCGCTCTGTTCTCAGCACTAAAACAGTTTATCTCCGTGTGATAAAATAAGTTCTGATGATAAATGAACATTAGTGAGTGGGATACGTCTTGACCCGTATGTGTTAAATCATAAATGACGAGAAGAAACGTCTCAAACTTCAGTAGACGGACATCCTCTCACACCTGATCGATAAAACTAACCTATCCCTTGGGAGACTCTGAAATCTGCTGACACATGGATATGTAGTATGGAAGATAATTTGCTCCATCACCTTCTGAATTTCTCACTTTGAGTTTTTTTTAATCTGAAGAAAAAAATTTGTTATTTTTATTCTGAATTTTAGTTGCTGATATTTTAAGAATACTTTTTCAATATATCTCAAATTCAAAAGTTAAAATTCAGAGTGTAAAATTCGCAGTGAAAAATTTCACAACAAAGATCCAAGATGCCGAGGCAGAAGAAATCGATCCTGTGTGAGCAAGGAGGACAGGCTGACATGTGCAGTAGAGCTCGGGGAGAGACGGAGGTGATGCACCGAGGAAGATGCTCGTTTGATTGTTTGTGTTTTGGCGTGGACACCTGCGGCTTATATTCAGGTGCAGCCTATATATGTACAGTTTTTTAATTTAGTTCAAATTTAGTTGATGCAGCTTTTTTTTCAGGTGCGCTCAATAGTCCAGAAATTACGGTACATTTTGCTTTAAACTGTTCATCGTTATGTCCTTATTTTTCATCATTCTGGGTCCATGGATAAACCTGGTCACAGTGAGACGGTTTTACTCGAGAGTTAAGAAAATTACTGCTATAAAGTCTGAGGAAATTGTACAAAAAACATCAAACCTGTGTCTCTAAATCCAAAGAAATATGTTGTAAACTGGGGATGTTAGTTTTATTGGATCTATACAACTGTAAATGGAAAAACGCAAGGTCGCTTATTTCGACGGGGCAGCGTAAATCGATAGACGTCGCTGTCGATTTAAGCTGCTGGGAGCTCATTTCGACAGAACAGCGGCAATGTTCTGGAGGTCTGTGTTGAAAGTTCTGGCATTTTGTACCCGGCGTTTTACTGCGAACTACGATAAGTGTAAAAGGGGGTTCACAGTGGGTGTTTCAGCGAGTTTCAAAACACAAAAACAGACGCTAGAGCAAAACGGGCTCTTAAACCGGGGCCTGGCTGAGCGGATCTCGGCGTGTTCGTGTTTTACCTGAGCTCCTCCGGCGATGGGGATGACGCAGGTGAGCAGGTTTCCCACCACGGTCTCCAGAGGAACAGAGAGGCGCTCCACATGAACCGTGTACACCAGGCTCAGACAGTTCTGCGAAGGAAAACGCCACAACTGTTATTACTACTTCAGAGGTATAATACTCCCTACAACAGAAGCATAGCCACAGTGGACTGGACTGGACTGGACTGAACTACACTATCGCAGTTCACAGGGTTCATGTCTCTGGTTCTGGGTCTGTACTGATGTAAATTTCACTGTTTTTTAGCGAGTGAGATGTGCATTTTTTGTTAATTAACTTGAGTATTAGTTTCAAAATTTCACAATATATTGAATTACAAGTCTCTTTGTTTAAATGAAAAGTTATGGTGCAGCAACAGCTAAAAAAAGACAGAGAGAACTACATAGACCATGATCCTTTGCTCCATTTCAGTGCAGACGACAAGAAGAAATAACACTTTTAAGTCTTAGTTCTTTGGATTAAGTCTTGTCAAGGTTGTTATTATTATTATTATTGTTGTAAGGTTAGATATTGTTACTTCTCTAATCGTGAGCTTCACAATCAGTGTGTCATTCGTTCATTTGTTTTTCAAAATAAAACCAAAAATAAGAAAACGAAAAAAACAACTGTTTTCTTTATTATTTGTCTCCAAAACCAGAATGAAAAAACAGATAATGATTCCTTTTGAGTTTTTTGATTTTGTGTTTAAATGGAAAATGGAAAAAAAACAAAAAACAGATAATGACCATTTCCCGTTTACGTGACTTAAACTGTGATGCTGGCCTGAACCAGGACTGAACCAGGACTAAACTGTTTTCAGTCATTGTCTGGTCCCGGCCTCAGTCCTGGTCTAGTTCCATCTAAATCCTGGTTTCAGTCCCAGTCTGGTTCCGGTCTGGTCCCAGACCTGGTTCAGTCCTGGTTCAGTCCGGCATCACAGTTTAAGTCACGTAAACGGAAAACGTCCGTTATCCGTTTTTTCCATTTTTTCCATTTTTCATTTAAACACTGAGAAAATTAACAGTTTTTTCATTTTGGTTTTGGAGACAAATAAAGAAGACTTTTTTTTTTTTTTTTTCCTTTTCTTATTTTTGGTTTTATATTGAAAAATGAATGAACAAATGACACATGGATTACTCCCCCACCGTATTGTGAGCTTTCCCACAATATCGCAGTACATATCGTACAGTGAGGTTCATACCGTGACGATATCGTATCGTGAGACTTGGATATCGTTACCCTCCTATTAGTCTCGTAAACGAAAAACAAAATGTAGGCTAAAGGAAGCCACACACTACAGGACTTTTTGGTCTTAAACTATTTTTAAACATACAAAAAGCGCACACCATGTCTTGTTGTCATTATAATCTTTATTTATTTATTTATTTTATTTCTTCTTCTTCTTATTATTATTTTTTTCTTCTTCTTCTTTCTTTTC